TTTATATGGTAGATGATTTTCCTGATGAAAAAAAAAACAACCTGCCTACCCATAATGCAAGTTTCTATGGCAACAACATAACATTGTATGCCCGCACATAATCCAGCACAGTTGCCATGGCAACTACATGTTTACACTAGCGTGGTCTAGATTACTATTAGTCTAACTATTTTTTAAAGCAACTTATTCTTTGTAGTTACCCTTTAGTAAGTATACTGGTTACTAATATGAGACGTATTTAGGCAGAGAAATCACAATTTAGATATGTGGCAGTTTTATAAGCACGCTAACCTAGCTTTAACCTTTAACCTGCCAGCCCCAGGTACTTTTATATTTATTCGAACAGATAAAGGTTAAGCTCTCTTAAAGCTGGCTAAATGTTTAGTTATGCTTGAATCGTACTGTACTTGTCTAAGGCGAACAGTAATACCTGTCTAAGGTGAACAGTAATACCTCTGTAAGGCAACCAGTAATACCCGTCTAAGGCGAACAGTATTACCTGTCTAAGGTGAACAGTATTACCTGTCTAAGGTGAACGGTAATACCTGTCTAAGGAGAACAGTAATACCTCTGTAAGGCGAACAGTAATACCTCTGTAAGGCAACCAGTAATACTTGTCTAAGGCGAACAGTATTACCTGTCTAAGGTGAACAGTATTACCTGTCTAAGGTGAACAGTATTACCTGTCTAAGGTGAACAGTATTACCTGTCTAAGGTGAACGGTAATACCTGTCTAAGGAGAACGGTAATACCTCTGTAAGGCGAACAGTAATACCTCTGTAAGGCAACCAGTAATACCTGTCTAAGGTGAACATTAATACCTGTCTAGGGTGAACAGTAATACCTGTCTAGGGTGAACAGTAATACCTCTCTATGTGAACAGTAATACCTCTGTAAGGCAACCAGTAATACCTGTCTAAGGTGAACAGTAATACCTGTCTAGGGTGAACAGTAATACCTCTCTATGTGAACAGTAATACCTGTCTAAGGAGAACAGTAATACCTATCTAAGGTGAATGGTAATACCTGTCTAAGGAGAACAGTAATTCCTCTCTAAAGTGAGCTATAATAAAAAGAAATCCAAAATTTTAGTTCGTTTTATTTTCAGGAAAACAATGGAAGTCATTTTTAGTAATAAATCTATTGCTGCAATTATGACTAAGTTGGTTCACAATTAAATAAGTTTTGTTAATTTGTGCCACTATATTTTTATTATTGTTTTTCAGGGATAGGATTTGCGAATTAGCCCAGCCCAAAGAAAATAAATGCATCTGGTTAACCAATTTTGGGTGGGTATCTCTCTCGCATTGCAGAGGGGTATATTTATTGCATGTCTCCATTCAAGTAAATTCTATGTTTTGTCTTCATTTGGCACTGGCCTTGACTTTCATCATGTCATAGAATGAAAGTTCAGGATTATTTGACCAGAAATGGTCACACTGTTTTGTGATTTTATTTGCTTTGTTTTACTTACAACCCCTGGGTATTGGTGACATCCTTATTTCTGAGAGATGTTTGTTGCTGTGTTACTTAGGCCAAAATAAAGGTTTTGCTTCTTGTCATTGCATCTATTTTCTTTTGTCAATTTCGCATATCAATGAAGTGTGATTTGACAATGTTTCAGAGCATATTTTGTTGATAGTGTTAAATGAACATAATGTTGTTATGGTATCGAATACTTTTAGTAAAATAATAATTAAAACTGCATCATTTTTCAATTTTCCCCAAGATGAGAAGCAAAATCATTATTTTGGGGCCCCAAGTTCAAATGTAAATGGTAACTGCATTGAATCCCTCACATTCAATGCCATCACAATGCTTACAAATATATGCAATGCAATATTTGTTCCATTTCCTAATATTGCGTACTTCGAAAGTAGCATTACAACTATATAGGTTGCAAAAAATATTGTTATTATGGCTAAATCATGTGGCTTTTGATTTCCCAAGCATTTGATAATAGTAAAATGAGACTTCCTTGCAACGTTACCAACCGTATTGTATATTCACCACTTTGCACCATGTCTGCAGTGCTCATCGACAAAACATAGAATTTACTACATTGTCTCAATGTTTGTATGAGGAGAATGCAGAATTAATTGTTCATTATTTTATAGACCAAATTTAGTATGGGGCAATCAGGATCCGATGTGGCCAATATCAAAATCAGCTCGATCAGCTGAGGCTACACCACGTCTTGAACATCTAGCCGAACCAAAGAGAAATTTTCAAACGGAAGAAATACTAAACAGGTGAGACTCCATACTTGTACTGTTAATATCAAATCCCCATTTGAAACTTAGCACTGAATCAATAACGTTTTTTGCATGTACCGGTAATTCACCGGGTATTTCTAAGACAGGGTAGGATGTTCATACATTGATTTAGTTTCTACAGGCTTTGATACTGCTCAAATCATTTGCTACATGTATGAAGAGAGCTCGGATCAAAGTGTACAATACTAAGTACAACGCAAACAGTATGACTACATAATCAGAACTAAGCCCATGGTAGATAAATCTAGTGCTACTGGCTGGTCTCCAATATAGCTAAAAATGCAATGATGTCAAATTAACGTATATGGCCAAAGCTACCGAATATTACCAAATCTACAAAGAAGACGCCATTTTAGTTTCCCTTGGTTTCTTCATAAATACTGATAGAATCACCTGAGACGATGATGGAATAATTTCACCTGAGACGATGATGGAATAATTTCACCTGAGACGATGATGGAATAATTTCACCTGAGACGATGATGGAATAATTTCACCTGAGACGATGATGGAATAATTTCACCTGAGACGATGATGGAATAATTTCACCTGAGACGATGATGGAATAATTTCACCTGAGACGATGATGGAATAATTTCACCTGAGACGATGATGGAATAATTTCACCTGAGACGATGATGGAATAATTTCACCTGAGACGATGATGGAACAAGTCATTGAAAATGACACAGTCCCCGTTTAGTTCTCTTTGTGCTCGTCATATTAAAGCGGAGGGGTTATTGCAGGGTG